AATGCCCTCAAGATCCATCCATCTTGACACAAATGGCAAGATTCAATTCTTTGTAATTGCTGAATAATATTCTATTGTGTACACCTATACCAAAACTTGTTTGTCCATTCTTTTATCAATGGACACCTAGGAGGCTTCCATACCTACTGATTGAGAGAAAATATTTGCCCACTCAAGTGAAAAGAACTATTATTTGAGGAGAACTATGTAGAAATGAAATATGAATGGGAGGAGAGTTAGAGAAGGAGATGACTTGGGGCATGTGAAATGATTGCTGATGGTCTGAAAGGCCAACTGAGGTTGGAAATTCTATTAGATGCACCATTATCTGGAGTGCTACTACTTTTTTTCACATTGGCTATTATAAGATTGAAGAAATCAGACATTTGGAGGGACCCAAAACTGAGGTGAAATAAAGCAGAAGATGTATTTGAAGATCACATGGATAAAGATGCGGTAAGTTCTAAATCAATTTGCCCTGAGATCCTACATGGATAAGGAAAGGAGTGAAAAGAAAAGGGAGGACTTAGAGGCACTGAACACCTCAATGAAATAAATAAAAAAAATGACATGGGACCCAGCCATTGTTAGGAGATTTAGAGTTGGGATATTAGACAATGGGATATTAGAGTTGTCTTTTAGAAGTGAATTCATGCTCAGTGATGCCAGGTGACTGAGGGTGGTCAGAGTATTAAGAAGTTAAAGGGCAGGGAAGTGGGGCCAGCATGCATGAGATGGGTTTTTCATGTGTATATTGTTGAAGGCACCTAAGATAAGGGCCAGACTTGGAGTCTCATGCCTTTTGAGCTGGTCCTTAGAGAATGATAATAGTGAAGATAATGCTAACATCTATTCATCATTATCAGTCTCAACCCCTTGATTAGTAGTCAGCACTGGGGAAGAATATAGGGGAATCAATAGCATCAGGAGGAAAGCTGCTTTCAGGTAAGGCCAGGAAGTCAAGGGAATATTGTGAAATGATCTAATTTCCTGTTTGTCATCTGGTTTATTTGTTGGCTTTTAAGCTGAGTGGGAAAAGCACAAAGACATATTTTACTATTTTTGCCCCATATAGTCATGTAATGGCAATAAAAAGGCCTGCCTGGGTCTTAATACAGATCTCTGAACTCAGGTAAGATATTATGGGCACTATCATGGCAATTAATATAACAAGAAAGTTGAAATGGATGAGCTCTACATTTTCATTGGCTTTAGTATATAGTGGTTATAGATAAAACTGCTAGGGTATGCCAGATATATAATAGTTATTCTCTTATAATTTCTATCTGGAAATAAACAACCTACTAGTATTAGGAAGGAACCTATAGCTTACTTTGTAAAAGTTCAAATTCTATCCAAAAAATATTGATTGCAGATATCACAATGCATCTTTGTGTCAATGAAGAATCCTAAAATTGGTGGACTAGTATAATCTAGTGTTTAAAGTCTCCAGCTTTAGATATTAGCTGTTTTCCATTAAATCAGGTTATTTGGCCTCTCTGCATCAAATTTTCCTCAAGAAAAAAAATAAGGATGACAGTAGCATGTATTTGGTAGAATTGTTGTAAATATTAAATAAAATTATACATGTAAAGCTTTTAGCAGTGTCAGACACTTTTTAAAAACTCAATATGTTAATTACCATTATAATTATTACAGGAGAGGCCAAATATTATATTTTTGCTGTCTAAAGATCTATCCATAAAAAATATCCTAAAGAAAAGTTTTTTTAAAATAAATAATACACACCATTCTCTTTTTTGGAGTCCTATCCCTAATGGGAAATTTCTAAGCATGTCATGATGTCTCAAGCTTTCAAGAAAGGTTGGAGCTCCCATCAATCAAACACCAGCATATTCTTCTCTTATCCTTGGATATCAAGTCTCCATATGTTTAGATTTTTATTTTTTTGCCAACCCAAGAGGATTTTCTCAATTGAGGATATCTAGTAATCTCTCCATCTTCCCTCCTTTCTCTTTAGAGGCCTTCTTCTTTATTTATCTTTATTGTTTAAAGTATTACAGATGTTCCCTTTTTTCCCCATGAACCCCTTCCACCCCATCCCCACCCCTTCCAGGCCTTCACAAAACTATTTGTCTGTGTCCATGGGCCATGCATATATGCATATAAATTCCTGGGTTAATTCCCCCCCCCCAACAACAATTTCTAAAGGCCTTCTTCTTAAGCTTCATTCATTTTTCCTACTTCTCTGTCACCCTTCTTTAACCATTTATCCCATTTTAACCCTTCCATTTTATTTAGTCAACTACTCTTTTTTGCTTTTCTTTCATTTTACCCTTTTATTCCATGTCACCCCTCCTTTTAATTCCCCATCACCTCTCCCCTTTATTCTAAATCACCCCCTCTTCTTTAGTCCACATCACCCCCTTTATTCAATATTTATCCATCCCCTTGTTCCACATCACCCTCTCCTCTTTATTCCAATCACTCCATTCCTTAATACCATGTCACTTTTCTTCATTATTTCACATCACATTTTTCTCCTTTATTCCTCTTCCCTACCTCTCCTTCCACTTCAGCTCCAGCCAGAGCTTCCCAACAATGTTTTATTTTATTTATTTTATTTATTTTAAGAAGAACTTTATTGGTTTTAGAGAGAGAGAGAGAGGGAGAAAGAGAGAACACCATGACAGGCTGCCTCCTGTTGCCCACCTTGCAGTGCAGGAATGACACTCCTAGGGAGCCACACACCAAGGCTGAAATGGCTGTTTTTTTCTTAATCCATTGATTTTAGGGAGAGTGGGAGAGAGAGGGAGAGACAGAGAGAAGCATCCATGTGAGAGAAACTCATTCATTAGTTGCCTCCTGCAGGAGCCCAGACCAGGGCCTGGACCAGAGAGAAGCCTGCAACTTAGGTTCGTGCCCATGACCTAAAATGAACCCTGGTCCTTCCACCCGTAGGCAGAGGCTCTGTCCAATAAGCCAAACCGGCCCGGCCTGGCCCCACCTGTTCTTGGACTGACCACCAGCCCCCCCGCAAGCAGACACCACCGAGAGGTCAGCACAGCTTCCTGGGTCACCTCCCACCCCCATCTCCCACCAGAAAGGAGAGGGTCTCCCCATGGATAGACAAAGGGTGCTCAACAGTGGACACATGAGACTGGGTGACTAAGGGGCTACGGCTCTGGAGACCAGGCCAGGCGAATCCGGGTGATGCTCAGGGCGCTCCGCCCTCCCCATCCTCCAGAACAACAGGTCTGAGCAGCAGGGTCTTAAACTGTCTCCTTTATTCATTCATTTATAGTTGAGTATGAAACAGCTAGGCACCCACACACACTCACGCGCCTGAGAGGGTCAAGGTCACTTGGCAACAGGGCTGGACTCCAGACCCTCAGGCACTGGAGGGGGACCCCAGCTAGACCCCCACCAAACCCCCACCCAGGGTCTGTGAGAGGGGCAAGGATCTCATGTGTCAGAGCCTCTTGAAAATGTCACCGGAGAGACGGGACCCCAGCCCCCAGAGCGGTGGGCCCGGCGGAGGCCCTTGAGCTCCCAGCCTGGGGGAAAATGCAGGGCTTGGGGCGTGTAGCTGAGTGAAGGCATGGCCTCACTGGGGCCCCCCAGGTGGACCTGAGCTGAAGGCCCAGTGTGGGTGTGGGCATCGGAACCACGGGGGAGGGGGGCGGGTGGTGCCTCAGGGACCCCAACGCAGCCCTGCTGGTAAGGGGTGAAGGTCCCCCCACCTGCCCAGGCCTGGCCCATCTGGCTCTCCCGCCCTCTCCTCCCTGGACATACATATAACATAGAATATAAGCCCCTCTCTCTAGCTCTTTCCTTTCTTTCTACTTGATTCTGTATCTTTATTCAAGAAGATAAAACTCCATCTTTCTTTTTTTCTCAGTGCAAATGGGGGTGGGTGGGGCCAGGCCTAACAATGTTTTAAATTTAAAAAAATAAAACACACACACACAGTAAGCTGCTTTCACAACACAGATGTTTATTAATGATTAAATGTCAGAGAAGTTTTAACAATCACAAATCATCGAGTTCTGTGGTTGTTACCCAATATGTGATCCATTTCTATCCCTCAATACAATACATTCTTCATTCTATGAATCTTAGCAGTTGTTATCTCTCAATATCAAGTATAATTTTGAATGTCATACGTAACCCATATCTGTGTATTACCAAAGCATGTCCCCCAAATTGTACTGTCCTGTGTAGAGGAACTACGGAGATGTTAGGTAAGAATATTTGTAATCTGGTGAGTTTGACTTGTTGGAACTATGTCCATATCTAACCGTTTTTGCTGACAGGGTGTGAATGCCAGCTGACTGTAAAACAAATTAAGGTAAAATCAAATTTTTCCTTTAACTTTTGACCAAAGAAAGGCTAGCTAGACTTATACTTGAGATAGCCCTGAGCAAAACTGCACATAATTTTGGGAGTGGCTGTTTGACGAGCCATTGGTCTAAATAATTTGGGAAAAAGAAATATCCTGAGGTGGTGGAGTTGCTGCGGGGACACGGCTATGAGTTGGTGTGACATGATTTCGCATTAATTGTTTGTCAGCTGTCAGTAGGCTGACCTAACGTCCTAGCATGCCTCTTGAGGGCCTTTCCAATTAAGCTCTTGGGAGTAGGGTAGGAAAGTCAGGAAAAACATGCAATCTCCTTTGGGGAAGGGAAAGCACCTCGAGATTTGTGAGCTTCTCTGAAACAGGCGTTTACCACAAATGTCACATCAATGAAAGAAAAGGCTGTAATGGGGGAAAGCCAGGATCAGGGGTAAAAGAGAAAGGCAAGGTAGCACCAGGGAGCCTGGGCATGACACCTAAACATGTCTGCTTTTACCATTTGAAGGGACCAAGCATCCCCAGTGAAAGGGCTGGCAGTGTATTTGGACTTCTCAACCTGAACCCGAGCATCAGGTGGAATTCCTCATCCTCAGATCTTTACCTTCAAGACACACTCTAAATGTTTTCCTATAACATCTCCCACCCTTTTCCCCTGTCCGGCACCTTATAGAAGGAAAAACATCTAAGGATAGTAATAGCCGATGCCAGCTTTGGCCTCCTCGTCCTCGTCCTCGTCCTCGTCCTCGTCCTCGTCCTCCTCCTCCTCCCGGGGCACACGGAACAATGGGCGGTCTTGCTCCAGAATGGGGGGGTTATCCACTCCTTCCTCATCGTCATGGGAACGGGCAGTGCCGGGAAGCACAGCTGGCTCCTCAGAGGAACCTGGAAAATAGTAACAATGTTAACTTCTTACTTTGCACAGTACCCAAGGGACTAAGACCTAATTTTGAGCTTCAAATACAATATGAGGCAAGAAGTTAGGGCAGAAATGGTTATTCCCATTAGAATTGTAAGAAAACTGCAACTTAAGAGCAGAATATAGATCTCTAAGACTATGCCCACTGTGGAAGCTGGAGGTGGGGGAAAAAGAGCTTGGTTAGAGAACAGAAAGAGTTAGACAGATACCCCATGCTTAGAGCAAATAGACATTACCTCCTGGGAAGAATGCGGCCTCCAAACAACCACCACCACCACCACACTACAAGCAGCCTAACTAATTTAACTAAGCAAATGAGTAATAAAGCTGGAGCCAGAAGCTTACAGCACTTCATGGAGGGGAGAAAGCAGGAGTCGATCTTCAATGATTCTGGAAAGGCTTGTAGTTCATTACTTGACCAGTCTGTGACTTGTTTTTAAGCAAGGTGGTATCTACAGGAAATGTAACATTGGCATCTTCTTTATAGAACTGGATTTCTTTTGGATTCTTAATTTTAGAGTCAAGATAATTAGGCATTGGTACTACTTCCATATACATGATTTCTTCAAGATTGACAGCAGGGTCTGGCTGAGGGTCTGAAATTGTATTGAAAATGGAGAACAATCTTCAGGCTCTGGAAACACATTGGTAACTTCATCTTCTTCAAAAATGTTATCTGGGTATTTTTGAGAATCTGAAATTTGGTTGTGAATTTGAGCATCCCTGGGCTCTGGAACCACACCAAGAACAAGTCTTCTTCAAAAATTGAATTTTCTTCTGAGTCTTGGATTCCACTGACATCAGAGGCTTCTTCATGTCCTGGGATTTCTTCAGCATCTGAAACTTCTTCATTGTTTAGGACTCCACTCATATTTGAGGATTCTTCCTCATCTTCAATATCATCAAAATTAGAGACGTCTTCAGGGCTGGTTACCACATGGAGAGCTGGATTCTTCTTCAGAACCTGCAATCCCGTTGACCTCTGGAGTTTCTTCGTGACCTGGAATTTCTTCAGTACCTGAGGATTCTTCATCATTTGGGACTCCATCAAGAGCTGGAATTTCTTCAAGATTGGGATCTTCTTCAGAGTCTGAGAGTCCATTAACCTCTGGGGATTCTTCATGATTTGGAATTTCAAGACCATCAGGGGCTTCTTCAGGGCTTGGGACCACATGAAGAGCTGGGTCTTCTTCAAAATCAAGGTCTTCATAAGAGTCTGAAATCCCATTGACTTCTAAGGCTTCTTCATTGTCTGAAATATCTTCAGCATTTGAGGCTTTATCATTTGGGATTTCATCAAGAGCTGGAATCTCTTCAAGATTGGGGTCTTCTTCCGAATCTGGGTTTTCATCATTATCTGAGGCATCTGCATGATCTGGAATTTCATCAGTATCTAAGGCTTCTTCATAATTTGGGATTACATGAAGATAGGGAACTTCTGCAAGGACAAGATTTTGGTCCTTCTTCAAGGTCATGGTTTGGGATTTCTCCAGGGTTTGGGATTTCTTGCACATCTAGGACCCCTTCAGGGTCTGGGACCATATCAAAATATGGTATTTCTTCAATGTCTGGTATTTCATTTAGTTCTGGAATTTCATCATCAAGATCTAGAATATCCTCAAGAGGAGGAAGATTGTCAAAATTCACAGTATCATCATCATCATCCTCATTATCATAATTATCTTCTTCATCAAGCTCTGGTATGTCTTCAAGAATTGGACCTTGAATTTCAAAGTTATTTGGGATCTCAAGACCTTGGACTTCACCAAAGACTACTCCTTGATTGAGATATTCAAATACTAGTTCTTCATTAACTGTCACATCTTACTGAGTGGATTCATTTTGCTCAAGGGGCTCATGTTCAGCAAGTACCTGGCCTTCAGGAAGGGCCTGACCTTCACCAAGGGACTGACCTTCAGCAAGGGCCTGACCTTCACCAAGGGTCTGATCTCTAGCAGGGAACTGACCTTCATCAAAGGGCTGGCTTTGAGCAAGGACAGCAGCCCGGGCTTCAGCAGAGGTTTCCACAGGATCAGAAAGTAAAGCATCCTCCTCCATCTTAATACGTTCACTCCTGAATGAGATTGAATTTGAAAAAGCAAATCAGTTTGTGTACTTGGATGGGTTAACAAAAAGGTGATCTTGGAATGCAACCCTCACAAAAGTTTCTCTTCTGGGTAAGCATAAACAAACCAAGAAAATACTCACTGGATCCTCCTCAGATTCCTGCGTCTGATAAAATCAAGGGCTTCAGGACTGGATGTCCACACACGCTTCGAAACCTGCCTCTGAATATGTGGTGGCACCTGGGGATAAAATTAGCAAATTAGTGTCATTATACATCTTTTAAAATTTTATTCTCATTTCTGTCAGTTGCCCAGGATTAAAGGCAACACCTAATGTGGAAAGAACTTCTAGATGGAAACTTTAAGGTACCTTTGGTCACCCTCAGGAAGAAATATACAAGTTATCCCTGCCTTGTGAACTGGAGAGAGAGCTGTGAAATAAGTGTGTCCAAAATTTCCAAATACCTGGAAGAGGACATCCCAGTTATCAATCATAGCACGGACCACATTGACAGAAGCAACATAGTGATCAATCCCCAGATTTGTTTTCCTGGATTCCCTAAAGCCAAATTTCCCTTTCTTCAGGAGAGCCGTTCCAAACACCAAGGCCAAGTTGGTGGAAGTCATACGGTTGCCAAAAACCTAGGTAAAACAAAGCAGAAAGTGGTTGATTCTAAGGTAGTAATGAAAGTCATACAAATGAAAACATCTTTATATTCTTGTTTCCTTTTCCCTCTTTTTCTCTGGCTCTGTCTTTCTCATATACTCCCACACATGTCCCCAACAACAGCCCTCAGTACCCTTTCCCAGAGCTCTTTACCAACTGTCCATCAACGCCAATAGAGTCCTCGCAGTACTCGGTGATTTTATGCAGGGCCTTCAGCAGACGCTCCAGGGTGTCACTGTGGCATGGTGGCATCAGGTACACCAGCAATTGCAGGGCAGAAAGCTGATCTTGTGGCTTCAGAGCTAGAGGAAGGGAAAAAAAGGGGGTTGGCTCAGGGGACTAGACTCGGCAGCATCCTAAAACCAAGAGAAATGTGATTCTGCTTAAAATCACTGAAGGCTGTGGAGAAAGTCCAGGAGGCATCTTCTTTGCTCATTGCCATAGATTTGATCCCAGAAGCCCCCAAAAGAAGAAAGGTTCTCATCAAAATAAAATACCTTCTGCAGAAAGTAGGTTCTTCTTCATCCTGAGAGGACACACAGCTTTAAGAAACTCGAGAAATTTCCAAAGGCAGGCTTATAATGGACTATTAAAATATAGAAGGAAAGTAATCTGAAGAGGTATTTTCATCTTTAGATGTTCATTCTGTCTTAGTTCCCAGGGTCTTGCAGCCTGAGCTCTGTCCCTACACCCCCACACTCCCTATACTATTTCCTTTCCTTGTCAAACAAGGAAGAAGGGAGAGCAGAAGACTCACCTGCTGTCAGGAGGAAGGACATGTATAGATCATCTGGCAGCAGAGAGTCCTTCATGTCACGGAAAAACTCCTTGAGAAGTGCGGCAACATCATGCACATTCTGATTGTCATCAAACACCACATCCAGACCTTGATCAAATGCTTCACGGAGCTATAAAAGAGGAGAGAACACCATGGACTGCCTGCCCTGCCTACCACAGGCTTCCTTCTGGTCATCTCTTCATTAACTTTCAGGCTTCAGTTGAGGAAGCTGGCAATATTCTGTGCCTGCTACATGAAACTCCCCTCAGGAATTTGGGGAGCCCCCATGTCACCTGCTTTTTCTTATTAAAAAACAAAAACAAAAAAAAAAACAAAAAAATAGTGTAAACAAACCCAATTTACCTTACTCACTCTCTCCTCTGAGTATTCCATGGTGAAAAGCCCCACCGTGTTTAAGCCTGAAAGAAAAGAGCAGGTATGCTAAGAATCTCTGATCCCCTTCCCCAGGGTATTTTCCTTCTCCCAGCTGCACCCAGAACTCAACTGGTGGCAGGGGAATGTTCCAAGCCCTTCATCTTGCAATCTTTTTTCTCTCCCTATTTCTAGAACATGATTCTTTATCTTTAATTGTTTTCTACTTTAATTTAACCATCACTTTTTGTCCCCCTTACCATGTTTCTCAAGGAAGCTGCAGCATGCCTCAACTACGCGAGGGATTTGCTTAGCAATTGGATTGAGGCTCATTTTCCTTTTGGATCCCAGAAGTCTACGGCCAATTGGAAAGGAAATTTTGGAAAGTTGCAGGGTCTGCAGCAGCATGGCCCCATCCTCCAGTTCAGCCAAGCTATCCACACATATGGCACCCTGTGAAGAACCCAGAGTATGTTAAAATGGGGAAGCAGGAAGAAGGCTTCAAACCTTCCTGAGTATTGCATCACATTCATAATAGGAGACATTCTTTCTGTGGCAAGCCAAGTACATCCCTACAACATGTTTTGTTCAGCCCCTCCTCCCTCAGAGAACACAGGCCTTGACCCTCATGCCCCACAACTTTGAACATCTCAGGAAGGGCCCCTGCCTGAAACCTGGAAGGTTTAACTCACTCTACGCCCACGGCGAGTGAACTCTCGGGGCAAAGAGGGCTCCTCCCGTCTTCGGTTGAAAAGGCGCCTGATGCGGCCAAACACCCTTTGCATCCTTTGCACCAGGTTTCCCCGACGACGGCGACGGCCTGCAGCCTGACTGGTAGCTTCTTCAATCTGCATCGCGGCTCTTAATTCAAGTTGCTTGCTGCGGGTGAACTCATTCACCAGCACCTCTTCCAGACGAACGCCAAAAGTCTTGAGTGATGCAGCTGAGGAGCCTAGGGGAGAAATGTAAATGCTCAGCAGCGCTCAAATCAGGAAGGACTGCAGGGGCTGTGACGCTCCTCTAAGCAACCTTTCAAAGCCAACCCCCACGCCTCCACACTCAGAGCGCTCCCCCTCCCTTTTCCCCCCTCCCCTTCCCACTCCCGGTGAGTGAGCCAAAAAAGAGCCTGCAGTGGTTTGGCTTCGCCCAACTACCCCATGGAGCTCAAGAACCCTGCCTTAAGTCCTGCCAGGGGGTGACTACCTTGAAGCAATGGGGAAAATATCTTCAGGAAGATCAGCCTATGGTGGATCTTAAGGGGGAATGCTTAGGCAGATCTGATGGGACCGCTTCTTGAACCCCTGCAGTTAGTGCTCCATTTCCTGAAATCTTCCCTGACGGGATTTCTGGGGGGATTGGGGGGGTGTCCCCAGGGGCAATAAGCACCGCCAGTCTACAGTAGCCAGGGGCACAATACAGAAGGGATGCAGCATCCCCTTTTTTCCCTAAGGAAAATACAAAAGCTCCTTACCCCTCTGTTGTCCTCTTGGAATCAGAAACCTGTTCTCCAAGGTGTTTGGGCTGTCAACAGAGAGATCTATGGGGGGAGAAGAAAAAAAAAACACGCACACACGCGCGCGCGCGCGCGCACACACACACACACACACACACACACACGCAGGCACGCACGCACACACACAAATGGGATCTTGTGACTAAAGCACCGCAATGCATTGATCCACAAGAATGGGGGGGGGGGTTGCTAAACAGCGCTATCCAGCCCGCGAAAAGTGTTTTTGCTTTCTCCCAGCCTCAGTTTCCCCATTTAACAGTGGTTTGCTTTCTCCCAGCCTCAGTTTCCCCATTTAACAGTGGTTTGCTCCTATGTACCGCGTAGGAGACGCCAAGAATTTAATCAAACCAGACAATTTTAGGCGCCCTGTGGCACGGCGCATGTTGTTATGCACCACTAGTACCTCAACACAACGCTTAAAACATAAATTCCAGGGCTCTTAGCATTGGGACAGTGCAACAGGCGAAGGGAAGGGAAGGGCTCTGTAAGAGTTGCCAAGTTACTGCGGACACTCTCACGCCTGTGATGCCACGAGCTGCGGCGCGAGAAGCAACAACCCACGCTGTTCCCACGCTCCAACCCCCCCTACTTCCCACCAGCCACGGCTGCCTGCGGGGTCTCCTCGCCCTTTGCGTTGCTCCTTTCAGGCTGTATCCCCTGTGCGCGCCTTCCAAATCTGCCTTCCTTCCCTGCACTTTACATTACTGCAGGTGCGCCTCCCGCCAGTGCGACCCCCTCCAACTCCCTTCAACTTTTCATCTGAGCCCCCTACCCCCTGAGAGCCCAGGCGCACTCGAACCCCGTCCAATGCTGGGTCCAACTCGCTCCCTGCGCTCCTAGCGCACCTCCCGCCTTTGCTCTACGCAAACGCAGAGATTGGTGCGTGTCTTTCCCGCACTGTCTCACAGGGTCTCCCTTACCCTCCGTCTCTCAACCGCACTATCTCCCTCTGTCCCGGTCCTCTCTCCGGGTGTTTCTCTGCGCCTCGCTCCCACTCTGACTCCTTCTAGTACGGCATCTGGTGTGTCTATCTCTTCACCTGTGCTCTATCAACTTGTCTGTCCCTGACATCCGCGGTCCGACTTGCCGCCCCTCAAACTCCCAGCCTTTGAACCAACTCAATTTTAATCTACTCTGCATTTCAACAAACACCCTTCAATTCCCTCTTCCTCGGTTCTCTGGGCTCCCGGAGAACCGACCAGATCTGAGAACAGAATTGTGCCCCCCCCATCCTTCCAGACCCCGAACTCTCCCCGTCCTGCCCTGGGGGTCCTCGAGTAGACCCCCAACTCTCCCCATCCTGCCCCGGGGGTCCGCGAGTAGACCCCAACTCTCCCTGTCCTGCCCCGGGGTCCGCGAGCAGACCCCCAACTCTCCCCATCCTGCCCCGGGGGTCCGCGTGTAGACCCCCAACTCTCCCCATCCTGCCCCGGGGGGTCCACTCGCTTAAGAGCGAGGACGCCACACTCCGGGTAATGCTTACCTCGGTTAGGCTTGAATTCAGAGAGAAACTGTCTGGCCACGAGTTCTTGGTAAGCAGTCTCTTGCAGCTTCTGACGCTCCAGCTCTGAGAGACTGTGTATTGATACCATCTTCCTGCGGTCCGGGTTGTGTCCTGGGGCTCCTCCCAGGACGTTCACTAAAAAAATGAAGCCGCACATCAACAGCAAAAGGGGCATGATTCTGGGGCACCGTGTCCTGGCTGCCTTCAGAAAAGAAGTGCAGCCACCCATTCTGGAATCGGATGATTATCAAGGCTGCATCATCCAATTGTCACTGGACCTGGTGGAGGGAACTGTGGGGGGGGGGGAGGTTGGTAGAGGGGGAGGAAAAACTGGGAGGCGGCTTCACCCTGGAGCAGAGCTGCCTCTGGTTGCTTTAAAAAAAAAAACTGTAAAAAAAAAAAATCAGCCCTGAACCGACAGTCCAGAGAAGAGAAAACCTAATTTGGAAAGAGAGAGAGTGAGGGAGAGAGAGAGACCTTACTCACAGTTTTAAAATGCACATTGACACAAGAATAATGTAATATTTTTCCATTAATTCAAATGCTGATGCAATTTATTTTTTTAGTTTTTAATGGTAATACTCAATGTTGTCCAGGTTGGGTGAAAAGGGCACTTTCATCTAGGTTAAGAAACCCTGTATGTTTGTACAGTTCTTCCAGAAAGCAAACTGGGTACTTGAGTCTTGAGCCAAAAAATTATCCCCAGGCCCTTTGACCAGTAATTTCCCTTCTAGGAATCTATCCTAATGAAATCTTCCTACAGACAAGAAAAACCATATTTGCATGAGCCATAGAGTAAAAAAATAATAATAAGGGGAAAATGTTCACCCAGCAATGAGAATAATTATATAAATTAGGGAATGGTCACAGTATGGGAAATTATGCAATTGTGAAAATTATGTTTTGTTTATTTTTTATTGATTTATTGGTGTGACATTGGTTAATAAAATTATATAAGTTTCAAGCTACAATTCTATAATACATCATTTGTATATTGTGCGTTCACCACCCCAAGTCAAGTCTCCTTCTATCTTCATTTATCCCCTCTATACCCTCTTCTATTTCCCCTCCCTCCCTCTTTCTCTCTGTTAATCACCAGAAATGATGTGTACAAAGAGCTCTTAAACCACAAATACAAAATATATAGTTGTATTAATTATGATTACAACTATATGAAGAAAAACACAGATGAAAATAAGACTGAAAGAAATGTACTCAAATATTAACATATAGTATCTATATTCAGTGGTGGAAATTTGTTTTCTTTTTACCTATTTACCAAAAATTGTTCAACTTGATTATATTATTTTTTATGAAAAAAAAAAACACAAACACATCCATTTGTACCAAAACAAACATCATTTCCAGGAAAAGTCTAGTAAGGGTATCTATTCAGGATTTGTGATCAGAGAGAAGTTTGTCTTAGTGTACTAGAAAACCTGTCCCTTTTACATGGTGCCTACTATCTCATACTGCTCAGGATCCCCCAGTGGGATCTGCCTGGACCCACACAACATCCTTTCTTGCACATCTTCACTTTTATAACTCCTTTGCTATTTTATTTATCCATAAAAATAAACCTGTGTTAAATGCACACTTTGTACCAGACACTGAAGATTCAAATATGAGCAAGATAATACTACTCTTTTCATAAATGGTTTAACTGTGCAGTGAAAGAGAAACACAGGTTAGCAACAATTTACAAAACCTTGTGATAAGTAATTGGCCAAGATATAAACAAAGTATTGTGAGAGCAGAAAGGAGGAAACATCTAAGTCTGCCTGGAGACAAGGGGGTAAGGGGGGGAGGGAGGAGGGAGGAGGGAAGAGAGAGGAGGGAGGAGGGAAGAGGGAGGGGGGAGGAGGGAGGGGGAGGGGGAGAGGAAAAGGGAGGAGGAGGGAGGAGGGAGGAGGGAGGAGGGAGGAGGGAGGAGGGAGGAGGGAGGAGGGAGGAGGGAGGAGGGAGGAGGGAGGAGGGAGGAGGGAGGGATCCAGAAAGAGAGAACAGCAAGCAGCAAGTGCAAAGGCAAGGAGATGGGAGAAAGGTTGTTATATTCTTAAAGCTGTATAAAGGAGATAAATCTAGATAGGCAGGGGTGAGCTTATGAATGTCCCTGTTAGCCATGCTAAGGAGCTGGACTTTCTCATGTAGGTAACAGGGGACTACTGCAGGGTTTTAAGGGGCAAGTGACAGAGTCTGAGCTGCAACATGGAAAAATCACATACAGTAGTGAAAATCCTGGTTTGGGTAGAGAGCCTGAAGTAGGTACATCAGCCAAGAGGCAAGAGATGCTGACACAAGTCAAGTGTCACTAGAGCTGGAGCAGAGGATGAATTTTATGGGTAGAATTGACAGGACTTAGGAGAATTTTTTATTGTAATTAAAAGGAAAGTATTTAAGAAGGCTCTGAAGTTTATGATTTGAGTGAGTGTATGCATGCTGGTTCCTGACAGAAAAGATAATTTGGAACAAGATGAACCTTTTGACAAGTAGGAAAGTTGTCATATGCCATTTTTCTGAGATTATCTTTCCCATGGACTTTTATGATAATATTCTATATATTATTGGGAATGGGGCTTAGAGTCAAAGACTATGTAATGTTGCTTTGCCAGAGAAAAGGTAAGTATGAGTTTATCATTCAACAATCTATATAAATGATTTCTACCCCAAAAAAGTCCACCCTACTTTTGTTTCCAAAATTCTATATTCCCATTTTTTTTAATGATCAAAGCCACACATATCAGAAATATATGCTGGCTGAATAACTAAAGTGCAGTATGAGAAAGGATGAGAAGTCTCTCTATGGATTTTTAATTCTTACCCTAGGTTTTTTGAAAGACCCTTCAACTTCAAAACACCATCCCCTCAACCCAAAGAGAATGCCTAAGCCCAATCAACAAACTGCATCCACAAAATGACCATTTTAACCCAAACACAAGCACATAACCTAACCAGAGACAGAGTAAGCCTCTAGCAATCCCCCATTCACACTAGCAGATCCAGAACCTGTTAGCCAAGGGTCTTAACCAGACACACACAACCCAACTCTGGCTTCATTTTTCTAACATAGCCCCCTTCTCCTCTTACCCCAATTCAGATATTGTTGTACCTGTTCTGTAGTTGCAGCTATTTCTTCTTGCCGAGACTCACCACATCTGCTGGTTCTTTCACCCAAAAAATCAAGATGAATATCAATCCCTCTCCCCCACTCAAATAAGGTAAGAAAAAAATAAGAAAAGCTCAAAACAACACCAACCAGAGAGAGAGAAAAGCCTTTGAGAGATGAGTCAGCCTAGATGCTTATAATTCTGATGGAAATCAAACGCCTTGAATAAACCGTTTGTCATTGCCTCCTGCTCAAAGATACAGAGCTAAACTTAAGAGCAATCATGTGCTGCAATTTTGCAAGCGAAATTGTCACTGTCTTGCTTACCTTCAACTCTCTGAAGGCACTTAGAAGAATACACGACAGAAGCAGGGTTAGGAAGGCCAATGTGCCCCCCAAAAGAAGCAGATGGGTAGGGTTGGGAGGGGGATGAGTAAACAGGTTTAACACTATGAGAGATTTGCTTAACAGGTTCTTGAGATCTGAATATTTGCCCTCAGGCCTGACTTGCTAACCTGAACACAAAAGGGGGTTCCTCACAGGGAATTAACTTCCAAGAGACTTCTCTTGCTCCAAAGTGTCTTCCCCTTCCCCTTATAACATGGTGCTGGCCTAAAGTGACCAGGACATCAAAAATATACTCAAGAAGAGAGACCAAAGCAAGCCCTGTCTTACAAAAACAATATCCTTAGACAAATATCTGTAATGACCACTGGAGTTGGAGCTAAATGGAACTGAGTTCAAAGCCAAGCTTTATAACTTCTTAGCTGTGTGACCTTAAGAAAGTTAGTTGAGTTATCTGAGTCTCAGTAGCTTCCTCTATAACATGAGGCAATGATACAGTACCCATTTTAGCAATTGTGTGAGAATTAAATGAATAATGTATGTATGATATTAGCATGGGTTTTTAATAAACATGTTGATAATGAAGGGTGTTTTTTTGTTTTGTTTTGTTTTTTGCAGAGGGCGTGACTTTATCAGAAAATATCAAGATTCAAAAGTAAACATTTAAAATTAGAATTTGTATAAATACATCCAAGGACTTACTCTCATCTATCTCTACTAAATCTGAATTATATGAAAACAGGTAAAGGATCCTGAAAGATTGTTGGGAATAAATCTTTCTTCCTCAATCTCTGATGGCATTAGGGTCAAGTATAAAAAAATAATCTTAAAAAATTTTGGAAAAAAATAACTGCATAAGTCAGTTTTCAAATGCTATTATTCAGATTAGTAACATGTCTCAAAATGTATTTCCTTCAAACCATACAATTTTACATTTTCACTAAAAAAAAAAAAAGAATGCATAATTTCATTTGGATCGATAAAGGGACTAAGATATAAACAGATACAGGAGAGAGAATTTGAACAAAGAGCAGAGGCACAACCAGATCAAGTCTCCAGCAATTCAAAAAGGGGAAACACGTCCTCCCAAAATGCATGTCACAGATGGAGGAACAAATTAACTTCCGAAAGGTCACCTGCTTTGACATTGCCAGGACAGAAATGCTCTCAGCTAGGTATAAATCCACAGCCTTCACAATTTGGTGGACTAATTAACTCCATTGCCCCAATTCAATAGTTAGGGATGGTGCAGTGATCACTAGTAAATCCCTGTGAGAGAAAAAAGGGGGGACTGCATTGATGCCATCTTTTGAATCTTTAAAAATTAGTCATTTTATGCCATCATCAGAATTTTGCTCCAAGCCTCTGATTGCTCCTCAGTGTTTGAGATATTGATAGTGGATGGGGCTTGGTGCCTAGAAGGCATTGCATCTATGTTATTCAAATGTCTATAGGCTGTGACAATAGATAAAGACATTCCCCATTAAATTATCACAATTTGAGAAAAAGATACAGGTTTCTAGATGAAAACATTTGGGCACCAATTTTGTCTGCTGTCACATCATCTCATTCATCCCTGAGCATTAATGAGTTAACCTTTAAGTTGTTATCCTATAACCTCCATTTCAGCAAGACAGCAGAATGAATGAAATGGCTCATTTTATTGTATGCAGTGATGATGCTA